CTGGGGCTGCAAGAAGACCCTGTTTCAAAAACAGCAACAACAACAACAACAAAAACTAAACAAACCAATACTACCCAGTATGTCAAATGAGCTAAAAAAGATTGGAAATTTATGTAAGATCTGAATGATAATATAAACCAGAATAGGAAAACAGAATTAAAGTGGCAACATTCCAAAAGAATGTGAAACAAGATTTTTTAAAATGAAGATTTGGTTGTTTTTCATTTAGGCAAGTTTTTTTTAACTTTTTAAAAATTGTATTTATTATTTTTACTTTATGCGTATGCGTGTATTGCCTGTATGTAGGTAAGTTCACCCATGTAGTACAATGCCTGCGGAAGTCAGAAGAGGCTGTCAGATCTCCTGGGACTGGAGTTACAGACAGTTGCTAGCTGCCATGTGGGTGCTGGGATTTGAACCCAGGTCTTCTGCCAAGAACAACCAGTGTTCTTAACCGCTGAGCCATCTCTCCAGCCCCTCATTTCGGCAGTTTTTAATGACAGTCGTATCTAAGACCCAACCCTGCATCTTCTCACGTTCTCTTCTTTGTATTTTCCCTTTTCCTTTCCTACGTGGCCAGATTTGGCTTTCCGTTCCACGGTCTTTTTGCAGTCCTTGTCCAGCTTTAGGCTGGTGATCAGCACCTTGCTGGGGTGAATGCCCACATAAACAGCTGTACCATTAGCCTTTTTCCGCTGCACCTGCTCAACGTAGATGACACACTTCTTCCTGTAAACCTGGACCACTTTGCTGATCAGTTGACTTTTGTAGTGCCCTCATACAACAGGAACTTCATTATCCTATTCAACATTGTGCTTCTGTCTCAGCTCTTTGGAAAGAGGGGAGGACATAATCTTCCTCCGAATGTGAGAAGGTATATTGAAATGTCTTTTCCAGTGCTTGCTTTGGTCAAAAGTCTCAAAGGAATTGAACTTCGTTTTGGCGAATTCTCACCAACTGTCCAAAGATTTGGGGTATTTAATTATTTATGTATTTATTTTTTATTTTATGAGTGTTTTGCCTGCATGTATATTAGCACATCTGTGCATGCAATGCCTGCGGAGGCCAGAAGAGGATGTTGGATATCCTGGAACTGGAGTTACAGATGGTTGTTAGCTGCCATGTGGGTGCTGGGAAACAAACCCAGATCCTCCGCAAGAGCAGCAAGTGCTCTTAACCATGGAGCCATCTCTGTAACCCAAAATTAATTTATATATTTTATTTTATGAGTGTTTTCCCTACACATACTTAAGTCTGCCTGTGTATGTAGTGTCCTCGGAGGCCTGGAGAGGATGTTGGATCCCCTGGAACTGGAGTTATGGATGGTTGTTAGTTGCCACATGGCTGCTGGGAACTGAACCCAGGACTTCAGTAAGAGTAGCCAGTGCTCTTAACCTATTTGTGTGTGTGTGTGTGTGTGTGTGTGCGCGTGTGTGTGTGTGTGTGTGTGTGTGCGCACGCACGCCATGTAGCAGGTGCCTGCAGAGACCAGAAGAGGGTGTTGGAGCCCCTGAAGCTGGAGTTACAGGCCCTTGTGAGCTGCCCAAAGTGAGTGCTGGGAATTGAGCTCAGATCCTCTGTGGAAGAGCAACAAGTGCTCTTAACCACTAAGCCATCTCTTTAGTCCTAAAATAAGATTTTTTAAAAAATCGTTGCAGAAATGAAGACTGAATTAGAATGAATACTGGTAAACTTCCTTTTAAAGGTACAAGCAGGACCTGCACGCATCACTTCCATTCACATCCCAGTGACCTGGACACATGGTGACAACCAGCTGGAGGACAGCCAGGGAAGTAAAGTCACAGCTGGACAGTGAAGCACCAGCAAAACGTCTATTGTACAGAAATGGAAGGAAATGGTAAAGATGGCATGCAAGATACTTTTCCTACTGTTAAAACAGTTGACAAAAGCAGCTTAAGGAGACTCAGCACTGTGGTAAGAAGGAGTGGCTGGGGAACCTGAGGAGGCTGGTCACTTTGCACAGTGAGGACACCAAGAGACATGAATTCTAGTACTCATCTACATTCTGCCTTTTTACCTTAAAACATTGGTTGGTTGGTTGGTTGGTTTGTTCATTCATTTGTGATAGAGTCTCTCTGTAGCCCCAGCTGGCCTGGAACTTGCTATGTACACCAGACTGGCCTCTCTCACAGAGATCCACTTGCCTCTGCCTCCCAAGTGCTGGGATTAAAGGCTTGTGCCACTATGCCTAGCTAAAAAAATTTTTTGGAAACTTGTTCTTGTGTAGCTCAGGCTGGCCTAGAGCTCAGTATGTTAGCTGAGGATGATCTTGATTCTTATCCTCCTGTCTCTACCTCCTGAGTGCTGTGATTACAGGCACACATTGTCACACCCAGTTTATGCCACTGTGGAGACTGATCCAGGGCTGCTTCATGCAAGCTCAGCAAATCCTGTACCAACTCAGCTATATGCCCTGGCCCTTTTTCCTTTATAATAAATCCAAAATCCTGGTCTATTGGGTAGTGCTACTCACATCCAAGGCAGACCGTCCCTCCTCAATTAAACCTCTCTAAAAACCACTCTTCCAGGCACAACCAGGTATGTTTCCTCAAAGGGTTCCAAGGATTGAACTTAAATTGTTATGCTTGTGCAGCAAGGACTTTTACCTGCTGAGCTATCTTGCCAGCCCTGCATTCTAAATCCAGTTAAGTTGACGGTGAAGATTAACCATCACAGATAAGATCTACCAGTCTTTCTAACAGTCCACTACTTTGACCATCCTCCAAGACGCCTGGTCCTCTATAAGTAGTGATTTTGAAAAGATATCCTAAGAGATGAGACTGGGACACCAAGATCTTCTCAAGACTTCAGGAGAGGTTTGGAGACCTTGACACAGTGGACACCTGAGCAGCAAAGGTCAGAAGACAGTGCTTGCTGTCACAATCATTTCATTTGTCCTCAATGAAATTATCATTAAGCTCAACAAAATAGGTTGTCAAGGTATAGAGGGCAATGAATGAAGATTAAAAGTCTTCAAATGTTTTTAAAAGGGAAGATATCCTTTGGTTGAAGTTACTTAAGTATCAAATTGTATATGAACAAAACCACCTTTAGACTTCCAAGGGTTTGAAGGGGCTAGATTACTAAAGAAACTCCAAACCTGGTCCACAACCCTGGTTGCCAAGACCTGTGCCAGCTGTGAAAACTGCAGGATCTAAGAAGGACACACGCTTCAAAACCCGCTTTAAGTCAAGAATTCATTGGGAAAGCCAAGGTCAAAAAAGAAATGAGCAGGACGAAGCAGGCTGGCCAAGAAACTCCCTCCACTCTCAGAGGTGGACTCCTGTCACCCATGTCCACCCAAGGGGACTTGACAATAGCTATGGACCACGGACCATGTGCAGCTTTCCTAACTCCTATTCATCAGATGAAAGGTTTTCATTACACAGCCCCAGGTGTGGTGTGGGCCAGATAACTTATCTTTTATGCCATAGGCCATTGTACACAAAGAGGTTTAACCAGCCCTCATGGACAGAGTCACACATTTTCCATAAGTCCTGGACTTTGAGTTGGAATCATTAATTGATTAGACTTTAGGGTCATCTCCCTTGGGGAAGGAGAATGGGGTTTTAATAAATGTACTGTGAAAGTACCTTTAGGGTAAAATGATCCTAAATGAGAGAGAAGCACACTTCTATCTCATCCAAAGATATATTTATAACATAGCTACGTCAGAAGACATCGTGTCTAATTTTCAACTTTCTCTCTTGGTCTCACCAACCAATTTTATGGGCCAGAAGGTGGAGCTATCAAAAGTTCCCAGAGCATCCCACCTCAATGTTCCAAGAGGACTTCCTCTTGGCACTGAATTTGAGTAGGGTCACCTAGTCCCTTAGATCCTCAGCTGGAACAAGACACAAAGAACCTGATTTTAACATCCTGCCCTGTGAGAGGGTGACAAACAGCCTAGCAGGAGCCTTCAGGCCTCAGGGATATTTCCTAACTGCAAACAAGGCTAAATTAAGGTTTTCTCTGTGGGAGGGAATGTTTGAAGGAGATCACTTAATTCCAACTCTTTTTTCATGAATGAAAAATAAATTTAAAAAAAAAAAAAGCTTTGCCACCAACATCCTCCAAGATCGGAAATTCCACAGTTAACTAACTCGGCTCCCAACTCTACTTCCTGCTGCAGAAGGAAGATGGATTCCGGTCCAGATATTCTGGGCCCAGTCTTGGCGGGCTTCCCTGGATGGTGTGTTTATTTGGCTGTTGCCACATTCCTTCTCCTCTCCACATCCATCAGAGCTCTCCTTTTCCCTGTCTGCAGACTGAGGGCCAATGGAAAACGATAGCCTCTTTCAAAGGGCTCTCCCTTCCCCTGTGCATCCAGCCCTCATGCATTTTCAACTCTTCCCCATGCTTACAGAGAAAACTAGATGTAGACGCTCATCTTCCTGCCTTGTGCTGTGTTCATACTCAGGCCCTTGGACTCTTGCTTTTACTTCATCATTTCACTGAAACTATTTTGCTGTGGTTGTTCTAATTTTATTTATTTTTATTTTACATATATGAGTTTTTTGCCTATATGTATATAAGTGCACCACATGTATACAATGCCCTCCGAGGTCAGAAGAGGGCATTGAAATCACTGAAACTGGAGTTATGGATGGTTGTTAGCCACCATGTGAGTACTGAGAACTGAACCCAGTCCTCTGCGAGAGCAACCCATCCTCTTAGCTGCTGAACCTCTCCAGTCCCTGAAAATTGCTTTTATTTTTAAGTTTGAGACAGAGTCCTGCTATGTAGGCCAAGCTGGCCTCAAGCTCATAATCCTCCTACCCTCACCTCCTGGGATTACAGTATACCACTAAACTTGATTATTTTAATTAATTCATTCACTCATTCATTCATTCATTGTAGTGCTGGGAATAGAACCAGGGCCCCATGCATTCTAGGCAAGGCTCTACCATCACTTTCATCCTCAGCCCTGAAACTGTTCTTAAGGATCCTGGACCTTTGTACATCCGCCTTTGACTTACCCTCCTGGGAATCATTTGACTCACTGGCCATTTCCTCCTTTCTTAGAAGTGTACGTGGTTTCTTTGGCAGACGCTCCTGGCTTTCCTCTCACTTCTCTAGACTCCATCCACGCAGTAGTTCAGAGTTTGAGCTCAGCGTGTCTCTCCAGCTGCATGTGCTTCTAGGAGTAGCTCTATTTGCCACCCATGTGCTAATCACCCAGGAATCTTCTGTCTTCAGTCTAAATGAGGGCCCTGACCTTTCATATACACTCCCAACTGTCAGATGTCTCCACTTGGATGAACCCCAAGCACTTCAAACAAAACATGAGTAAAAAGAAACAATTTCCCCACCCACTCACAAAACCTGATCTGTTTTGTTTTGATTTCCTGATGCAACAAAGACAGCAATCTCAATCCTGTTGCTTAAGTCATGTCTGCTCAGTAGCCAAACCCAGCCAACTGTACCTCCCTAAGAACCATCCTATTCATCCACATGGTTCAGGCAGCAGTTACCGTCTGGATGACCACAGTATTCCCATATGGTCTCCCTCCACTGTAGTCCTGTAGTTCATTTTCCATTTGGTCCTTCTGTAACCTGTTTTCCACTCAGTACTTCATTCAAATAACACTCTTAAGCATGTGAGAAGAGAAATTTTTCCAATATAAAAATTAGATCCTGGGCTGGAGAGACAACTCAGTCAGTAAAACACTTGCCCTAAAAGCATAAGGACCAGAGTTTGGATCCCCAGCACTCACATAAATGCCATGCATGCATGGTGGCATGCCTGAAATCCCAGCATTCAGGAATGGAGACAGGGGATCCCCCAGAGCTAGACTAGCAGAATTAGTGCACTCCGGTTCAAATGAGAGACTGAGAGACCCTGCCTCAATATATAAGGCAGAAAGAGCTCAAGGAAGACACCCATCAACCCCCTGGCATCCACACACATGCATATGCACCCCCCACATGTATACAATGCACATGTGTGTGACCCACACATGTGCATGTACATATGTATGCATGTCATACATATCTACATTCACAAAGAGAAAGAAAAGAAGGACAAGAGGGAGGAAGGGAAGGATGGAAGAAGGAAGGGAGGGAGGGAAAGAAGGAAGGAAATTAGATCCTGAGACACCATTCACAACCCTTGGCTCTGCACCTCCTGTGCACCCTTCCATTCTCAGTTCAAATTATCACCTGCCTCTCTGAAATATGTTCTCTGACCTCCCCTACCTCCAGAAGGCACCCATGTGCTCTCTACCGGCACCAAATCCTGATGTCTTCTAAAGCACCCACCACACTGTGGGTTCCTGGACAACAGGACTGAGTCTTGGTCTTTGAGCTGCTCTACCCAGGAAATGCTGAATTAAAACCTAAATAGCAAAACAGGATAATACTTGATCATTTCAGGAAAGGCTTCATAGAGAAAGTGGGGTTTGCAATAGACCTTGAATCTCTGGACAGTCTAGACAGGTGAAACAATTTAAAGAAACACCTCATGGAAGGAAACGGTCTTTGTTGTGCCTACTGGCTCAGTAGAGTACACTGCTTGGAGCCAAGGTCAGAATAGGTGGGGTAAATGTCTGAGGAATCATCCTATCCACAGGCAGTCAAACACAGGATCAGGCACAGGTTTAGAAAGACCTATCCCATCAAGGCACATTTACTTCGACCAGCAACCCCAATTCTTGGAATCTACCCTAAAATATACACCTCCACAATTATAAAATGGCAGAGTATTTTACTGTGGAATTATTAGAAAATGATTGGAAATACCCACGTGTCTGCCTACAGTACTGGTTGGACAAGCCCCAGGCTATCTACACAGCTGTACAAAAGAATGAGGACAGTAGACAGCGTGGAACAGCTTCCAGGATGTAAGTGAAAAGGCAAATAGTATGTATAAAAACACAAAGTGTAAATAGCTTGTATGATGTAATCTCCTATTGTATAAAACTACAAAGTTTGCAAGAAAAACATAGAAACATATATGGAGATCCTTTGTGTTATTCTTGCATAAATTAAACACCAGAAGATCAAATAAACAATTGGGCTGGAGAGGTCATTCAGTGATATGGCACCTGCCTAGCAAGAACAAGACCCTGGGTCTATGCTGCTAAAGAAAGGGGTGGGGGACAGGAAGAGAGAGACAGAGACACAGACAGACAGAGATAGGGGAAAAGACAGAAAATCAGAGAGAGACTGATGGGGAAGCAAGAACTACAGTGGAAGGAGGAGGAATCAAGTCAGATTTTGCTGTGTAAATAACACACTAACTCTTAAGCCTTGAAAAAAATGCTTAATTCATTTTGTTTAGTTATCGGGGCTGTGCAGGTGCCACAGTGTTTGAAGGTCAGAGGACAGCTTTCAGGAGTTGGGTCTCTCCTTGCCATGTGGATCCTGGAGATCAGACTCAAATTGGTCATCAGGCTTGGCAACCTTTAACTGTGGAGCCATTTCACTGGCCCTTGCAAATATTTTATATGTTCAAAAACTAAAATAAAATAAAAATATCAAACCCTAAAAGTAAACAAATGTGTCTGACTACATATCTGATCAGTAACAACCACTTAGAAGAAAATCCAATTAGTTTTAAACATAGTGAAATACCCTGCCATTTTCATAATATTCTCATTTTATATATAGTGGGATATATAAAAATATTTTTATTTAAAAATTTTATTACATTCATTTATTTGTGTGTCTGTCTGTCTATCTGTCTGTGTCTGTGAGTGCATGAGTACCACAGAACATGTGGAAGTCAGAGGATTACTTGTAAGTTCTCTCTTTCTACCTTATAGGTCCCAGGAATCAAACCCAGATCATCAGGCTTACACAGAAAACTCTTTAACCTACTGAGTCATCTTACCAGCCCCATGCAGAGACATTTTAATCATAATTAAGACTTATTGCTAAGATAGTGGGGGGTGTACATGTATATTCATAAACACACACTTTGGGATATACAATGTGTTGTTCTTGGGTCTTAGAAACCTATACTCCAAAGTAAAGGCCTAAGAGACAAAGTTTCTTTCTGTTACCATTTAAAACTAAAATGTCCCCGGTAGGCTCATGGTTTGAAAGCAGAGTCACCATCTTGTGGTAGTATTTTAGGCTGTGGAGCCTTTAAAAGGTAAGGCCTAGATGGGTGTGGTGGTGCATGCCTGTAGACCCAGCACTTGGAAGGCAGAGGCAGGTGGATATCCGTGAGTTCAAGGCCAGCCTGGTCTACATAGTGAGTTCCAGGACAGCCCGGGCTACAGGGAGACCCTGTCTCAAAAAGAAAAAAAAAAAAAAAAAAAAAAAAGTAAGGCCTGTTGGTAGAGGCAGGTCACTAGGGGCAGGCCTTTGAAGGTTGTACCTCATTAAGCCTGGCTGTTTGCTTCCTGGTCTGCCATTCCAAGTGAACGGCTGCTGTGGCTCCTGCCACACACGCCCTAACCTGATGGATCAAGACTGAAACTCTGAAATTGAGACCCAAAGTGAACACTTCTTTCTTTAAATCATTTCTGTCAGATGTTTTGGGCATAGAAACATGAACATAACTAATACACTCCCTTCTCCTGCCCCAGCCCTCCCCCCTGCCCCTCCCCTTCCCCCCCCCCAAGAGAAGCCGAACAATCTAGATTTCTCTGGGTTGGAGAGATGGCACAACCAGAAAACGCTCAGGTTCACAACCAAAGTAGATTCCTCTTCCGTAAAGCAGGTCATAGAAACCAGAATCCCTTTCCTCAAAATCATCCATAAAGCATAATAACTCTAACCTCCCCCACCTTTCTGTGTAATTGTAGGCTGCAAAGAAAATAAGACCCGCAGCCCAAAAGAGTCCTTCCCCAGAGATGGGCGGAAGAAATGCTAGCACTGAGAGCAGAGAAGACTGAGCAGGCAAGCAGGTTGGGCTGGCTCCTCACTCGGCCTGTTTCAGTTCCAACAGATCCTTTGTGTCACCCGCAGCTGTTTCTGTTTCATGGAACAAAAGCATAAAGTAATGGACGTTCACCCTGGGTTGTTGGGGCAGCAATCGGTACCACTAAAACTACAATCAAATAAATGACTCTGGTTTCCATGTTAACATGTCTTTTGTTTTAGGGGTCTTGACCATAACCCTTTATCGTGGGCAGGAAAGAGACCATCCCCTTTTCTGTCCCTATACTGATAACAAGTGTTCCTCTTACATTTAAGAAAAATGGGACTAAATTTTTTCAATCTAGGAAGTTTTTTTTAATTATAAAGTCTGAATAAGAAACAGCAGTATGTGCTCATATATTTTCTTCTTGTTTTTATTAATACATAATTAGTTGTATACATTTATGACATACACTATATCATGCATATATACACTGTGTAATAGTCAAATTATAGCAGTTAGCATTTCTATCTCCTAGACAGTCATCATTTCTTTGTTCCAAGAACATTCAATATTCTCTCTTGTAGCTATTTTGAAACATTTAGTGCAATATTCTTATCTGTAGATACCTCACTCTTCAAGAGAACACCAAAATGTCTCCTCCTTTCCAACTATAGCTTTGTAACCCCTGACCAGTCTCTCCTCATCCTCTCTCCCTGTTGCAATTCCACATAAGAGTGAGTTTAGAGGTCTGGAGAGATGGCTCAGTGGTTAAGAGCATTAGGGACCTAGGTTCAAGTCCCAGCACCCACATGGCAGCTAACAACTGTCCGTAACTCCAGTTCCAGGGGATCCAACAACTGTTACAAATGATGTATTAAAGTATTACTTGCAATTAGATTAACACTTGATATTACACTTAATAGTTTTTACCAATTATATAGGTATAAATTTAGGGCAGCCAGGCATGGTGGCGCACTTAATCCTAGCACTTGCGAGACAGAGACAGGTGGATCTCTGTGAGTTCAAGGCCAGGCTGGTCTCCATAGAGATTCCAAGTCAGTTGGGGCTATAGGGAGACCCTATCTCAAAAAGACCAAAATAAATATTTTATTTATTATTTTTATTTTATGTGTATGAGTGTATTGCCTACATGCGTGTGAGTGCACCTGTGTTGTGCAAAGGCCATGGAGGTCAGAAGAGGGTGTCAGATCCCCTAGAAATGGAGTTATAGACAGTTATTAGCCACAATGTGGGTGCTGAGATTTGAACCCAGGTCCTCCACAGGAGCAGTCAGTCCTCTTAACTGCTGGGCCATCTCTTCAGCCCCACCAACATTTTCATTTTTACAGAATTTTTATTGATAGGGGTGGGATGGAAGGGCGTGCCACAGCTGCATGTGGATGCCAGCCTAAACTTTATAGAG